GATGGGTGTGAAGGGGTTGGTGGGAGGTTATGTGTTAATAAAAGTAATATTTTTATAGTAAATAGTTTGATATTGAAATAATGATTTGTTTAATGTTGTTGCTGTCCAGTTGTAGCTAATTCCTTCTATCACGAGATATCATTATAAACTTCACCTTGGTCATTGACTGTCTGTCTTGATCGGCTATGACATAATAATAGTGGTCCATATTATCGTTATATTTCATCCACAGAAAAGTTGTTTATGTTATATATTGATAGCCTAATCCTGTCTCTGTCACCCTTAACTTTTTCCCCATTCTTTCCCTTTTACTTAATTTCTCTGAACCCTTTCCATGCTTTGGTTGACGAGACCGGCGTGTAGTCAACCATAATCAAATATTTCAAACGCCAAGTGAAAGCCAAACTAATGTATTCACATCTCGGAAAAAGGAAGCGTGGCTCCGGTTGTACTACAGCAAAACTCGTTTAGTACGAACACGGATATTGCGAATGTACGGATATAGCAAAGTCATCATGGATCCCCAGCTATATAAATTTATTAATTTCTTATACGGTTATAAGTAATTACGGTTATTGCAAAGTAGTTTCACAGGTCCCAGAGACTTTGTTATAACAGAGTTTTACTGAATTTTCTAATGGCCTACGTAGTCCGAATGTAGAACTACTTTGAGGTGACATAAAACTAACTACGTTGACTTTTATCCAAAATGATTATATATTCCCTATGGGCGAAATTTTTTTTTCTTTCTTCAGTGGTCTTTATTTCTAACCCCTGACCCATGTAGCTATGAATTCTAGAATAAACATAAAAATTAGAAAGATCCCACTTAGTCAGTTGTTCTTAGTAAAGAAAAGATTATATATCTGAAAAATTCTCATAATAAAATGTGTCTCCTCCAAAATATAACCTTTAATCATTACTCATTCTTATTGATGGACAAAACATAAAGACATGGTAATAAGCATATCAAGAAAACTCCTCCTCTTTTTATTTGAAAGAGGAACATTCTGTCTACAGTCATGATCACGTCAGAGGGTTTTCCAGACCGACAAAAAAAATTGTTATGTTAAGTTTCAAGTAAAAACTTTCTGTCAGAATTTGTATTCATAATTCATAGACTATAGCACAAGAATGACCCAATCGTGTTTTCATAAACATAAATCAGTCACTGACATTCATAAGTACAAATTTTCTGTACATCTAGTGGAGTGAGAAGTTCATTCATTGTAGATAGAGTGTTACTTTCTGTAAATTATGGATTTTTTTTTCTTTTACATTCCATCTTTTGGAATTGTATGGTTAAGACATATCATATCACACCTTGATCTGGCTACAATCCTGATAACTGTAACAAGCAAACAAGTCATTGTGTAGATTGACGGCGATTTCTTCAAAGTTTATTGTTCACCACTCCATGAATATCTTGCAGCACAATAAATCTGAAGGTTCCCCTTAAAAGCAGATTTTTAAGGAGTAAAATTATTGTCCCATTGGACTCACAATACGTGTTTGTTTCAAAGAATTTGTATGAAATCTTGGGGTCGCTTGGAATTTTATACCGGCACTCACGTTGACCTCTGCTTTGAGGTCATAAAAGAATTTAACAGAGGACTTTAATCTGAAATCAGAGAGCAACAGTCATGTATAACAGCTTCATTATTATAACTACAAGTCATTATTATTAAAACAAAGGCATGTCGTCAATGAATGTGATATATATATATATATATATATATATATATATATATATATATATATATATATATATATATATATATATATATATATATATATAAAAAACTTTAAAACACTTTTCGAAATATTTCAACCGTGTTACCGGCCTTCATCAGTCGTGTTTATTTAAATGCATTGATGCACTTTTCAAGTAAAAAATTATATTAACTGTAAATGAAGGATTGTTGTTTATGGAATATTTTGTAAAAAGTGTGACAAAATAGTGTATGTGGGAGAAACTGGTGATAGTTTATATCAAAGACATGTTTTGAATTTGTCTTTAATTAGAAGGGAAACAAATGATCCTGTGGCTACTCATTTTAATTCAGGTGTACATACAGTAGAAGATTATAATATAATAGGCATTGAAAAACTGTATAAGAATGACATTTACCGCAAATATAGAGAAAATCTTTGGAAAAAAAAGTTGAACACTTATATACCATTTGGTATTAACAAAAGAGAACACTTCTGTCTTTGAATTGAATTTATGAACATTTGTGTGACATGGTGATACTTATTTTTACAGATATACTTTTATATTTACTTTAAAATCATATTTTTAATATACCCCGTATTCTAGTATTTTATTCTGTATGATAAAATTTTGATACACAAGTACAATTTTTGCTCTCACAATATCTTCAGATGTTTTTGGCGCAATTTTATTGCATGACGTTGCCTCTCAATTTCTATGTTCATTGTGACGTCATAATACTGTTGAGTTGCTATGCATTTAAATAAACACGACTGATGAAGGCCGGTAACACGGTTGAAATATTTCGAAAAGTGTTTTAAAGTTTTTTATTGTATTGACAAAAAGAGACTTTGGATATATATATATATATATATATATATATATATATATATATATATATATATATATATATATATATATATATATATATATATATATATATATATATTTAAGAAATAAACAACGTTATTCAGTGAACATGGCGTTATGAATAGCAATTGCTCTGCTGGCATATTCCATGATGCGCGCTAGCGCATCATGGAAAATATGCCAGCAGAGCAGTTGCTATTCATAATGCCATGTTCACTGAATAATCGTTGTTTATTACTTATATTTGCATTCTTTGATTTTTTAAAAGAATATCAGAGGAAATCCTGACATACAGGAGGACGCGGTCACTTGTCTTCAGTAATGAAAAACGTACAGCTTTAAAATCATTACACTTGATCAATGATCCTTTTCTCTAATGAATCACAAACAATTTATAAAGTATTGCCCTCTCAAACAGTTATCTGGATACAAGCAGGGCCGTCATCACATTCTCTTAATTTTTGTTTTGATGCAGTTGTGACGTCATCGATCAACGTTATTGAAACCCTCTGACAAAAATCAATAATTTAACATTATGATGAAAGATGAAGATGCTTTTATAATGATTATTATTCAAGAATGCTTTTCTATGAATGTTTTTTTTTTAGCTTTTCATATTTATTTTTAATAGCTGAAATCATTCTTGATATACTAGTTAAAGAAATTTCCTCTTTCTGAGTGTTATTACCCGAGTGTGAAGAGTTATCTTTCTTTGTACAAATATATATGATATGAAAAAATAAAAATATGGCAGTTATCTACAACTTTAAAAAGTTTTATTTTACAATTAAATACACTGACCAAAATTAAATTTTTAAAGATATAAATCAGCAATTTTTAATTGTCTGAATTTCTTTTTTTCCAAAAAAATATTATTATAAACTTATTTTTAGTGCTTTTACGAAACACTTCATATATATACTTCTCAACATGGTGTATCTGTGTAGTAGAACTTGTTCTACACGAGTGAGCTATAGAGCAATTGCACTCATAGCAGAAGTAGTTGCGTCTATAGTCCTATGAACGCAGTTGCTGGCTGCAGGTTCATAGTGGGAGAGAGCAATGGATATGCAAATATATATATATATATATATATATATATATATATAAAGTAATAATGCATTATCAATGCTAATGGGATACAAAAGTTCCTATATTTTGCTGGCACATGTTACCCACATAGAACTATAAACGTCACTTATTATAAAAAGATCCGCAAAAAGTTTTTTTTATTATTTACAAATTTGTCAAAATGTTAAATGTATTTGATTTCACGCATATTTTTAATTGAATATTATACCGGTACAAAACAGGTGAATGATAAAGATTGACATTCTCTAACAGGACATACAGACTAAGAGAACGTTCAGAGCTTTGATGATTTAGTATGATTTAGTATGTCCATTCATATGAAAAAGATACGCAACTATTGAAAAATTAATGTTTGAATTTGCCATTGATACAGTGTTTGGCACATTGAATATCTGTCTTGTCTTTTTTTATAATGAAATACCCACTGTGGGGGAACTCCCTTTTTCAATACACAGCCAATTGTGCCTAACGTTAATTTAGTGTTAATCTCAATTAACATTAAATTAATGTTAGCTTGATGTAAGTTTAATGTTACTTTCGTGTTAAGTTAACGTTAAAGATATTAACATTAAGTTAACGTTAATTTTTAACGTTAATTTAACTTAACATTAAATTCATGTTAATTTTTAACGTTAATTTAACTTAACATTAATTTCATGTTAATTTTTAACATTAAATTAACGTCAAATTTTAAGTGAGCTTGGGTTCTCTCTTAAAAAACTAGAACCAAAATATTAACATTAGATTAACGTTAATTAGTTAATGTTAATTTCATGTTAATGTGAATTTAACGTTAATTCTTTAATGTTAATTTCATGTTAATTATAACAACACAAGATTAATGTTATTATTCAAATTTTAGACCTTACTTTAAGCAATATTTTCCAATCATATTAGTGACATTTAATTAATTAGTTAAGATGTCCATATGTGGATACTCGAAACCGCCGGAGTTGGGGGTTGGGGGGGGGGGTATTGGCACTTGTGTCGGAAATAAATTTTTTACCCCAATATATAAAGATAACATTTGTGTTAGTATTATACCATAGGTTCAAAAGGTATTTCCGACACAATTTATTTCCTACACAAGTGCCTGTGTGTTTGTAAGGGTGTGTACACGTGTGGGTTTGGGAAAGGGAGGTGCTCTAACTGTTAGCACCCTCTTCACCTCGTCCATTTTTTTTTCACACATTCTTAAAAAAGTAATTTATCTAGAAAATTATAAACTCTATGTCTATCTTTAAAAATGTCAAGTTGGATTTGGATTTTTTCCGGCTAAAAATGGTCCGTAGCTTTTCTCAGGATCGGTTTTGTTTTTATCGGACGAAACTGTACGTCATGTTTGACGTCACCAGCTGTAACAGAAATTGAAAACGCAGAGGAAAAAGGATTTATCAACTTCAAGTCTGTTAAAAGTAAGTATTTTGTAGTCTTTGTAATATTACGTTTTTGAGAGTTTCATAATATCAGAGGTCCCAAAATGTTTGAACTTTATATATCCTGGCGTATTGTATTTTCGACCTATTTAGATGTAATCTATTAATTTATTGCAAACTTTATAGAAGCTGAAAAACTATGGGCTTAAAATGTTAGCATATGTGTCTATAAATAAAATTATACAACCCAAATTGCAGTTTTGTGTTTATTTTATTTATATGCCATAAAATGGGGAGGGTGCATTTTTACCTACAAAAATATTAGCGTCTTGTGTTTTCGACCTAAATATAGTATCAATGACCAAACAGTATTGGCTTTAAATATCTGTTGGATATTCCAAACAATAAAAATACGATTGTCTGTCTTTCAAAAAAACATTGAACAAGTTCGACATTTCAGTTCCAAATACATTTACTCGTTGGTTGAACCCATTTGTCAGGAGCTGTGGATTTCCAAAAGAAATCAATGAAATTACGTTGCATTTTTCAGTAAAAATCTGTAAGAAAGTGCCCATTTCTAAGGAAGAAAAAAAATTCGTTTGATCCACCCATTCATTTCAATATTCATGCGTCTCTTTGACAGAGATCTTAATTTTCTTTCAGGAAAATGTCATCACAAGATCTTTGTAATTAACCGATTACGGCTTTGATTAATCAACAGATAAAATGTGCATTAGTAAAAAGACTATAATTTCTGACATCGGACTAAAACCACGGAGGGAATTCCGTTGAATTATTTATTTTGGGTATTTTCACTACAGTTGTGCTTCAAAGGGGTTTTTCCAAGTGTAGCAACCGAAAATAATGTTCTACTGCACGGTATCTGCACGGGAAACAGATTGAGAAAAATAGGTCGAAAATACAATACGGTCGAAAATAGGATACGAGACGATATAGCAACATAACACATAATTAGTTAATTACTCAACAGTCCTTGCAGGCTACTGTGTCGTAGGCTGTGAACGATGTGCCAGATCTCTGCTATGTTGTATATATTTTGTATATCAGCATTAATATTTTCATTAGGTCTATTTATTGTTCAGTTGGTTAAATTTGTTTGAACACTGAAGTCTGCCGGTACATCTGTACTGCCGCCTTATGTACGATACGGAGAAAATTCGAAAGTGAAAGTAGACATCTTGTATATACAATTTAACAATAATCATCTCGAAGTTGAAGTTAAACACGCAATGTGAGTGATGTTTTCCCTTATTCTAACAGTTCATCTTAATTGGTTTCACCATCATCGAGAAAAAAACACTGATTTGATATTTATTTTTATTGTATTTTAAACAGCTGAAACTCGGTATCACATCTGTCTCGCACTTCTGAAACACTGTGAAATGGATCAAATCGGACTTTGTCGTGGAGACTCGGAAGAACCCAGCTGCCTAAATTATTATGCCAGTGGAACACAAAACAGGTATTGAAAGTGGAACAAAATGTAAACAATTCCCACAGTAAATGTAATGACAGTGAAATTAACATTCACACACCCCAACTGATTTTTTAAAATTACAGTTAAGTACTTGTCACTACTTGACACTTGTCAATATTTTGTTCAGAAACATTTTATAAGCATTAAGATTTTTTCTTTTACTGCATAATACAGAAAAGATACTTGTATGCAAGACATGGAGAAAAGTGCAGACTACAGCCTCTATATACCATTCCTTGGTGCCTCCTTGAACTGATGATTTTCAGGATAACCATGCAGGAATAAAGGTTATTTATTTATAAACAATAAAATGCTTTCTTTGTTTGTTGTTACTGGAATGAACGGAAGCAGCTGTTGCAGAAAAAATACATAACCCGCTTACGCGGGTTATGTAAATTTTTTCTGCAATAGCTGCAACCGTTCATTCCAGTAATAACAAACAAAGAAAGACATTTTATTGTTTATATTTATATCTGTTTAAATATTCAATTAAGTAGGATTAAAAAGATTAATTATTGTATTAATGATGCGAACGTCTTAATACGTTTCATTGATTGAAAGCCACTGATAAAGAAATATGTACAGGCGACATGGCTACTGTAGTTTATGCAGTGATGAACGCAATGGGGTTTCTTAAGAAATAAAGGAGAAAATATTCAGTGGATGTAGATATAAAATAGTATATACATAGTTTATTCATAATTTTCATTTAGAAAAATTCTACAACTTGATCTAGAGCTTATGCTAAAGAGACAAATTTAAAGCCAAGTTGCTTTCACTGTACTAAAAGTTTGCTTTGAATCAGACGCTGCACATAAAATTTGATTTCTATCTATGAATATCGTATATGTTGAAGATATAAAATTTCAAAAAAATGATTTTTAATTATTTTTTTTTTTATAATTGTAGGATAACTCAGTATAAAGTCTTCTGACATGAACAGAACATGATAATCACAAGAAAGTGAATATATTTCATCACCTTAAACAATCTTCAAAATACCAGGTAAAGTGCATTTATTCTGAACACATATCAAATATTTAGAACCATTTAATATGTCACCCCTAAATTTTTTTGAAAATATACTGGAAACACAATGTCTGTTTGCCAGTCTCACTGTAAAGTAAAATATGTGGAAGTATATAGTTTTTAAATACTAGTAGCTTTTTAGTTCACCTGAGCCGAAAGCTCAATTAAACTCTTCAGATCACATTTTGTCCGCCGTCTCTCTGTCCATCAACTTCTTCTCAAGAACCACTGGGCCAGGAAAGATGGAACTTAAATGGAAGCATCCTCAGATAGTGTACTTTCAGGCCTCTTCAACCCAGGGGGGTAGGGGGGGGGCACAATGGACTTTCAGTCTTACTTAAGAAATATTAGGTACAGTGATCCCCCGTTATAATGCCAAAATTTGTACCTTGGTCATTTTGGCATTATAACGGGGGTGGCGTTATATCGGGGGGAGAGAAGTAACATGCACAAATAAATGAAACAAATTTATTATCAATGTACTACATGTATTTCAAGATTTTAATGCCTTCATATCAAATAAACAAATATAAAAGCCTGGGTCAAAAGCTTACGTATGCTTGTCAGAAAATCACAGTTTTTTTGAAAAACATATCAATTGACAAAGACACCGTAATTAAGTTCAAAATTGTCGACAAGTGTGCTATTTATTGATCGATTTTTATCTGTGACTAACCCGCTGTGGATCCAACAATTTCTAATTGTGTCGGGCGTTACACTTTCCCATGCTTGTTTAATAAAGGGAATACCTTCACTCAATAACACTTTCGGTGCATTATTTTGGATTTTTTTTGTGATATTTAAGGTAGGATTCTTCTCATATTTCTGATATTTAAAAATTAATGAAATTTTCACAGAATCAAGAAGACAATACCAGTAAGTGATAGTATCAATGAGATTAAATTTGACCGTTTAATATTAGAGGCAAGGTCAGGTCAAGGTCATTATTTTTTCCCTTGACACTTAACAAAAAAAAATAACTGTTGCCAATCATGTGATACCTACTTCTATTTCAAAAGTTTAATGATTGTTCTTTTTGCATAAAAACATATTACTATATCGGATCTATAGCATGATGTTACCAAATTTACATAAATAATTTAACTTAACTGGACATTGGCTAATCCGAATTTTCTCTGTTTTTCTTAATTTTTTAGTATATATTAGTTATTTTCATATGCTTCCTATATTTAACTTTTTCTTATTTTCACATATAATAAAGTAGTCCTATAAATGTACAAAATGATACAAAAACAAAAAGTTTTGATCATTTAGTAAGAGAGAAATAATACTTTTTGTGGATTTTTGGCTCAAATCTGCACTTTGATGGGAAGCGTTTAAAAGCTAATAAAGTTCTAGTTTGTTTGAAATATCATATTTATTTGATATATTTTGAAAGTTTAGTCCCTCATTATTAATATAACTCACATTTGAAAATTTCTCCAAGACTTCGATTGAGTAAAAATTATTACTAAATTCATTGTTCTATTATAATTTTGAGTGGCAGAAAAGAAGATATTTTCATACGCCACCAATCCGCCAAAAATATAGTCCCTGTAAGCTTTCAAACGCAGTTTACCATTTCTATTTAAAGTTGTACAATTGTGTTGAGGACAGAAAAATATGATCTTTTAAATTACTTACATCTCAATATATAAGACATATAAGCAAATATTCTATGAATGTTTCATCTAGTCAGAAACCAGAGAAGAATCCTACCTTAATGATTTCCAGTCTTTGTTTCAATTCCAAGATAACGCGCCTTGATTTCGGCGAGTTGTTCATATCCAGACTTCAAAAAGAAGAGTAAAGATTTGAACTCAAATAATTATGTATGTAACTTATTATCTACTCCAAACTTTGATGCATGGAAGACTAATGGCGGATAATTGCTTAAGAAAGTTCACTGAAATTCCCTTCCCGAAGATATAATTGGTGGTAATTATCGGGGGTGATTATAGCGGTAATGGACAGATTTGTACCATGTGCTCAGGTGAAGGATGTGGCCAATGGACCTCTTGTTTCATTCATTATATTTGAGGCAAATTTGAGTTGTTAATGTATTGTTAAGTATTTCATTTTCATATAATTATTATAAAATATGTATTTGCCTCTCTTCTTTTTCAGATTGGAAAAAGAAAGAAGATTTGTAGCATTGTATTGAATATGCCTGATTAAAAGTATTAATGGATGAATTGGTGTTTTTCTCTTTTCTTCAGAAAATTTGAAATCGGAGGCAATGCTCAGAATTTTAGAGATTTTGTTGAAAAAGCAGATGGGTCCTTTTATCCTTTTGGATATATTCAAATTGAAAAGAAAGTGACACCAAGGATGAAGTCAACATGCAAGCCTAGCTTTCTGCAGTGCTACAAGGAAAAGTGCAAAATTGATGAGATTCTGGTGTACCTTTAGAGAAATAATTATGATTACATGCAGTATTAGTTAAGCTTCTGTTATGAAGCAATAACATGTATTTTTTTTTTAAGAATAGGAAGGAAAATTCCAAAAATATGCACACAATTTTTCTGCATTTTAACGTTAAATAAGTGTGAACTAATTAACGTTAATTTAACGCTTAACGTTAATTTAACATGAAAATAACGTTAACTTAACGTTAAATTTTTAACATTAAATTCATGTATAAGCTCGATTGACGTTAATTTAACGTTAAATATTTAACGTTAAGTTAACGTTATTTTCATGTAAGATTAACGTTAGGCACAATTGGCTGTGTATAATGTTTTATATCAGATATCCTGAAGAATATCAAATATATTTTCAATCAGAAATAGAAAAGTGAAGTATTACAAACTACATTAACTTAGATCTAGTCCCATAATTTTTTTACAGAGCAAATTATATCACATAATAAATCTCACAATAACAAATGTCTACATTAAAAAAACTACTTCAATCATTACTCATTTTTCCGGCTAACATCAGTTAAACATTGTGGCATAAAGTACACATTAGAAGTAGAACTATACAAAAGCATCTCATGTTTATTTATTTCCAGAACAACTTTTCCAACCAACACTTCCTGTCAGAGTTTGTATTCATACTGTGTAAAGTCTGTCACAAGTTAACTTCTATGGGTCGTAATAAATAGAATGTAGTCAATAACATCGCTAAGTACTGGTTTTCTGAACATTTAGGAGATGTGAAAAATGTATGAAATCTGTAGTAAGGATCTATATTTTCTATGTGTTAGTGCATTTTCACAATCGCCTATCAACAGTCTCGTTTAAAATCACCATTTCTATAATCGATACAATGACCTTGTCAGCAATACAATTTATCATGGAGTTAAATGCTGACTGACGTTGTTCATACTAATTGTTACTCCATTATTTTATACACTGAATTGACGACGGATTTGTCCGTTGTTTCCCAATCATGACAAGATTCATGACAAGAAGCACACGGTGGGTGTGACCGGTCAGCAGAGGATGCTTACTCCTCATTGACACCTGATCACGCCTCTGATGTTTTAGAGATCCATGCTTTCTCTGTTCCTAATTTATATTGTTTTATGGACTTTGATATTGAACACTGTTCGTTATCTCCATATGTTTCATAATGAAATATGCATTTACTTAAAGAAAAAGATTGAATAAGTCAATCATTACTCATTTTTTTCCGGCTAAGGTCATTGAGACATGCTGATTCGAAGCACATACTGAGATAATAGTTATAACACTGAACAGCTTTTTCGATTTAAACTTCCTGCAAGAATGTGTTTTCATATTGTATTTAATATTGCACAAATATGACACAATTTCACGCCTCTAGGTCGTAATAGACTGAATTCAGTAGATGACAGCGTTTACTACTTATTTATGTACCTTTAACGGGAGTGAGAAATTGTTTAATCTTAATCGAGGAAACGTTGAATTTAAGTACATTTTTAAATTTCTTAATGTACATGTAAATGTATTTTATTGACCCCCCACCCTCTCAGTAGTAGCCCCCTACAGGCCAAGTGCGAAATTGTCTAAAAAATGTTCCTTCTGAATTTCTAAAAGTTACTTTGGGGTCTGAAAATCCACAATTTACTAATATCACCTATTGAAAATGTTGAGTCAGAATCTGAAGTTTCTCTTTCACAGCTGATACGAGGGTTGTTAGAAAAGTTCGCGGACACATTGAATTACGGAAAATCTATTGTGTACTATGAAGTATGACATATGTCTGAATAAAGTCCTACATTTTGATTATTGGTATGTAAAAAATTAAGTCCATATAATGAAATCTTGAAAATTTACAACGATTTTTACTATGAGGTCATGGGATTCACGGAGCAATCACTTGACGTAAGGCGACGTGACAACCAGATTTCAACCCATTAAGCTTTGTCGCAGTTCTATAAATCTTTCATTTCTTAAGACTTTTCTTATCATTTTTTCTACTTTAAAATTGAATATCCGTATGAAGACATGTTATTTTTCTACTCTAATGTCTTTTGTACTGATTCGGATATTATTGAGATTTTTTAAAAAGTCTATGTAGTTAATCGATCAGGAATGGAAACCATGCAAAAGCATATAGGCACAAAGTCCATGCGATAAGGGGGTATTGAAGTATCGATGGAGTTAATCATTCAAAATGTTATTCCTTCCATTCATATGAAGCTACAACCATTTGGAAACTTGTCCTTTGTATGTGTTGGAAAATCTGGGCAGCATCTTGAACATTTTAAACTCTTTTTATACATTTTCCTGTATGCACACATAATTTTTACGCAGTGCAGTGCTCCATGACGCTCAATGACGTTCTGATTTTTGGTTGTGTTGTTACGCGTTGATCATTCATAAACGGCTATAAAACATTCATATACTCTCCAATTTAGCTTAAAATTTCTCCAAGTGACGTTTCATGAATACTTAAGCGGCAGATAAAATATCATAAATCTCTTTGCGCTACAATTGTGCAATTTTTAATTTTAATTCAGAGTCTTTGTGATGTAGACGTGGCAAAATGTAGCATGCTCCGTGAAGCAAGATTTTTCAAAATAAAAAGGCTGTATATATTTCAATATTCACCGGAGAGCACCAAATTCTTGTATGTTTATTGAAAAAGGGGTTAAGATTTTATCTGGAAAGTTTGACCGGTTTCGTGGAAATAGCGCGTTCACAATAGAACTTGTCCGCGAACTTTTCTAACACCCCTCGTATAATAAGGAATAACATAACGTCTCCCTGGAAATTTTATTGAAATCGACAATACGTATTTGTTTGTTAGGACTTTTATGAAGTCTAAGAATCTCTCGAGTCCCTCCATCGACAATATCCATGACGTCTCCTTTGATGGCATGGAATTATCTTGTTAGAGATTTTTATCTACAATCAAACAGAGACTGAAGGTGATCTAATCTGTGTTATTTTATTACTACAAGTCCATAATATCGTACCCATCCAGTAAATGTGTCATTTTGATGTAGGAATAAGGAGTAAATTATTGTACATGTATTACCATCATCGTTCGGCGAGCCTAAATGATCGTAGATTTTACTGGTTACTGTAAAATCACATATTTTCGTTGGGTCAAATATTCATGGATCGAGGAAAAATTTTAGTTCATGTGGATTGGATTTCGTGGGTGAAAAATTTGTTAGTAGTTGTGAATATGAAATTTTACACCTCGTGGTGGACATGAATTCACGAGTCTCTTCATGCCTCGAAAAAAACGAAAATTAAACATCCAGGAAAATTAATGATTTCACAGTACTTCAAAATCTAGTTCTACGAGGGTTGTCCCAAAATTCCGTAGACAAGCGTTGCTTTGTAAGAATCCTAAGTCATACATTAATGAAACTTCGTATATAGATTAAACCAACACTATCTAATAGATTTATGGACAAATACGGAGTGACTATTATTCCAAGAAGGATATGGAAAAAACGAACAGTATTCAATCTCAACGTCCATTAAACAAATATACAAAATAAGAGCAGAGCAAACACAGACCTCCGAAACATCAGAGGTGGGATCAGGTGCCATGGAGGAGTGAGCATCCCCTGCCGACCGGTCACACCCGCCGTGTGCTCGTTGTCCAATTAAGAAGGCACATTTCATTGTCTGATGTAGGAAGGCGGCGCAATACCCAAAATTTGCTATTAAAATTTGAAAATTGTATTTAAAATCGTACGGAAAAGTGATTACTACCCTGTGATTTTTAAAAATGGAAGTGAAAATTATCAATACTGTTTTTTTAACTATATTTCTTCAAATGTTGGTGTTTGTGCCTTGATAAATATGAATTTTCTAACGTTTTTATAAACATGGGGTTGAAATCCGACTTTTTGAAAAAATGGCGACTGCGTTTGCACAGGCGGCGCACTGAGGTATGTTCAAGTGTTTTGAACCTAAATTAACTCTTACAAAAATGTACCAGTCATAAATATTTGGTAGACTAGGAACCTATTTCCCATCCTTAGTATTTAAAATGAATAAAACGGTTTCTGTATGTATATGTGAATAACAGTAACTTAAATAAAAGACAGGACTAAGAAATGGGCAAGAATTCCATTGTGCAACTCCATTAGAGAAAACAGACGAAAAGCCCGTAGAAATATAGCGTTTTCAATTAATAATTTTTTCATACCTGTACATGCATATACTTTGTTTAAATTTTTAAATGTTTCATCATATTATAGTAGTTAAGATTTTTTACATTTATAATTATAGCCTTTCGTTTACTATAAGAATTTGATTCTGGTAATTGACACATTTTCTCCAAAATTTGAACCGTTGACATTTGTATTTTTTGACGTTGCAGATTGCTCCGGGTGTAAGAGAACCATATCACTTTAAATCCTTTATCTCAAAAAGTTTTCAAGTAAACTTGATAGAGCTTCGTAATTTATCTACCAATAACTAGCTTTATCCACCCTGAAAATTTTATAAAGATACATTAATTTCTTTAAAAGAAATGAGGTCAGTCTACGAAATTTTGGGACAACCCTCGTATAATTGGCAATTAATGGGCTCAGGCTTGAAAAACTTGGTCAAAATATACATCCCAGCAATGGATAGGCATAAGAAAAAAGATATATCAACATGCTTGTTTTTTTTTCTGCTACTGCCTCCCAGCAAAATATATATTAAAAACAAAAAAATTGGAAACTTGAGAAAAAGTTCCTGTGTTCAAAAACTGTCAAAGGAAATAAATAGGAAGTTAGGAAGTTAACTCTGTACAGTCAAGCTACAATAATCAGAATAAGATTAAAACATGTAACTAAACCATATTTA